CACATATCGACTTATAGAATTTCCCTAACTCTGTTTATACCTTTTGCTTTCAGAGTCCATACAACCCTCAAGGTGGTTTGTTGAATATACAGACACACTTACTAAATGTGGTTTGTTGAATATACAGACACACTTACTAAATGTAATTTGTTGAATATACAGATACAGTTACTAAATGTGGTTTGTTGAATATATATACAGACACACTTACTAAATGTGGTTTGTTGAATATACAGACACACTTACTAAATGTGGTTTGTTGAATATACATACACTTACTAAATGTGGTTTGTTGAATATACAGACACTTACTAAATGTGGTTTGTTGAATATACAGACACACTTACTAAATGTGGTTTGTTGAATATACATACACTTGCTAAATGTGGTTTGTTGAATATACAGACACACTTGTAAGTCCGCAGACATACAGCTGTGCCACTGGGGGGGGGGGGCACCCAAGCTGTGCTAATGAACTTTGTTTGTTTGTTTGTTTTGAGGGCTATCTGCGCTAGCCGTCTTTAATTTAGCAGTGTAAGACTAGAGGGAAGGCAGCTAGTTATCACCACCCACCGCCAACTCTTGGGCTACTCTTTTACCAACGAATAGTAGGGTTGACTGTCACATTATAACGCCCCTACGGCTGAAAGGGCGAGCATGTGTGGTGAGACGGGGATTCCAACCCGCGACCCTCAGATTGAGAGTCGAAATGAACCTTGAATAGGCGAAACTACAGCCCAAAGCAGAGGACACGGCCAATCAAGAAAAGCGTTAGGCCTCTACGTCACAGATCATAATTTCAATTTTACCCTTGGTGAAGAAATCTAATATAATCGTTCAACAGTTGGTCCGCTGTGTAGTGTCGCATAATTAGGCGCAAGGGCATAATATTATTCAAACACCTCAATTAATTTAGGTTACTATATGGTGTTTTAAAAATAACTAAAAAAAAAAACATATCAAAATACTAAAGCAACTTTTTCATTCCCAAGATTCAATTACAATAAAAATAAATGAATATTCAACACTAAGTCTATTATGCTCGGGTAGTCTGAAAACACAAAAATGAAATTTATTACTACATTTGGGCGTTTTTGAAACACCGAAATATAAACTTTGAATTGATTTTTGCGTGTATATATACAAAGATACTTTGTTCTTGTGGAATTCGGTAAATTAGGTCGCAATGTTATTACATATCCACTGTATTTGTTATTCAGACGTCCCTGTAAAAACCATTTTTCACCGATTACATACAGAAAGACCTTTGATTATTTTCCTAGTTGAAATTTTTCCTTGTGGGATTTAGCAGAATATAAATCTTTATTATTTAGACATTAAGGTTATTCATAAAACCAACTCGGTGATTTACTGAACTTTATTTATGTCGTCCTGAAGCTGCCTGGGAAGGTTAGTAATATCTGATTCGAAGCTTGCGACTTGTTGAACAGTTGTTATATTAGTGACTTTGATGTCTTGATAAATACGAGACATCAGGGCCGTGTCTGGTTTTAGTGTTTGCATGAATCTTTAATGACTGTTTTAGAATGCTTGCATACCAAACGATTAGCGTACTCTCGAACACAGATTCCTACCCTTTTGATGTGTAATAAACACATCTCATAAACTACACTTGATGATAGCACGTATGGATATTTCAAATGTTGATGTAATCTATACTCACGTCTTATGGCAAAGCTACTAACGCCATCTACTGCCGTCCTGAATTATGAAACTGCCAGAGGGAGGACAGGTTTTAACAAATTGTTTGTTTGCTTGTTTTGAATTTCGCGCAAAGGTACACGAGGACTATCTGCTCTAGCCGACCCTAATTTACCAACGATTAGTGGGATTGACCGTCACATTATAACGCCCCCACGGCTGAAAAGGCGAGCATGTTTGGTGGGACGGGGAGTCGAGTGCCCTAACCACCAGGCCATGTTGGGCCCCCGCCGGGGTATGAAATGTATATATTAAATATTACTGCTACCTGTGACTTCCAACGTTGTATCTTCACTTTGAAAATTTACACAACGCCTACCTGCAAAAACCGTTCCTAATTTGAATTGATAAGCTAGAGGAAAGGCAACAAGCCCAAAAATATCCACTGCCAACTGTTGGGCTAATCTGATCGAATAGTGAAATATGAGCGTCACTATTGTAATGACGCATCCGTTACACGTTTTTTTTTTTTAATACTAGAATAGAATGATCTTTTATAATTAATACGTAATAAATGAAATACAGAAGTTTAGTAAAGTTGTAAGATTTAAACCGGAAGTGACAAGATCCCTGAAGACAGTTACATCTGTCGAAAGAGCTAGGGTTTTAAAGGTTTGTTTTTCATATAGTCCTAAATGTTGTTTTGTTATTTTTTAACTATCACAAATAATTAGGCATATTTTAGTATAAAACTAAATCACCAGAAAAGCGAGAGAAGATACAGATAAATTATGAGAAGTGGGCCAAGTGCCAAATTATTCAAAAATCTTTTTTTTTTCAATATTATATACTCTTGGTTTTTGTATTTTACGTCACTCCACTTCATTCTCGTTCTTCTTTAACATATACATTCATAAGAAAAGTTTATTTGTTCATAATCTGTTGTGTGGTCTCTGTTTTGTTTTTGAAGTTAAGCACAAAGCTACACAATGGGCTATCTGTGCTCTGCTCACCACGGGTATCGAAACCCGGATTCTAGCGTTGTGAGTCCGCATATATACCGCTGTGCTACTGGGGGGGGGGGCTGTGTGGTCTCTTGTTTGTTTGTTTGTTATGGATTTCGTGCAAAGCTACATGAGGACTATCTGCGCTAGCCGACCCTAATTTAGCAGTGTAAGACTAAACCACATTTAGTAAGTGTGTCTGTATATTCAACAAACCACATTTAGCAAGTGTGTCTGTATATTCAACAAATCACATTTAGTAAGTGTGTCTGTATATTCAACAAACCACATTTAGCAAGTGTATGTATATTCAACAAACCACATTTAGTAAGTGTGTATGTATATTCAACAAACCACATTTAGTAAGTGTGTCTGTATATTCAACAAACCACATTTAGCAAGTGTGTCTGTATATTCAACAAATTACATTTAGTAAGTGTGTCTGTATATTCAACAAACCACATTTAGCAAGTGTGTCTGTATATTCAACAAATTACATTTAGTAAGCCATAAATATTAAATAAACATCACCATTATATTGAGCTTGACTGGATATAGTTGGTTAGCTGACCCAAGCTGTTTGTTTGTTTGTTTGAAGTTAAGCTCAAAGCTACACAATCTGTGCTCTGCCCACCACGGGTATCGAAACCCGGTTTATGACGATAATCGTATGTTGTACTTCCAAATGTTAACACATCTGTAGCTTTGCATGTCATTTTACTTCTGTAATTAAACACCAGTACTGAAACCCGGTTTTAGTGTTATAAGCCTCTACTTACTGCTGAGTCACTGGGGGAGGGGGAGAGGGGAACAAGAAACGTTAGAGTAGTGTTTCCTGAAGGTGCACAAGAGCGCGCCAAAGAGATTAATCATCACAGACGAAATGTACATTTTCATGCGGAAATCGCTAGAGGGAACAGCTATCTGTTTTCTGTTTGTATTAGCACAAAGGTTCATAATGGCCTATCGGCACTCCGTCCACCACGGGGAATCGAACCCCGAACTTTAGAGTTATAAGTCCTTAAACTTTAAGCTCGCCCAAAGGAAACGGGAGTGGCCAAAAACACAAAATTTGAGAATTAAAACATGAGAACTATTCTATATTTATAGTTGACTCTTACCAATAGGCGTGGGATGAACTGGCTTGCTTTATATATATATATATGTATAAACGTAGTTCTAATATACCAAGTTGTGTTACTTATGAATAACAGTTTATCACAATTTCCTACAGTCGGTATCTATATGTCTGTAGCTGGTCCTATATTAAGCGCACATGAATGTCTTCAATGGCGAACCGCTATAATTGCTAAAATGTCTTGTTACGTTGCAGATATGAATTCCTTCTTTGAGAAAAACGTGACATGACACTAAAAAAAAGCCACACTTTGTTAGTCAAGCGTTGTGCGTGTGAAATTATAAGATTTGGGAGCACGCGGAGAAAATGACTGATGAAAACTAATGCGTGTATATTATAGCCCTAAAATTATCGAGGTGACATTTTAAAGCTTAAAGATAAAGTGCCTGTAGTTTTAGATTTCGTTGGTTACATGGAGTTTAATAACATAAGAGTCACACACACGAAAAAAGTAAAACAAAAACATTAATATTTCGAATTACTGCCACTGAAACGGAAACCTAAGAATACGGTTATCAACAATACGGTGTGGGTCAAAGATTAAGTCTCCAAACAAAAAATCCGATGTTCGATTCCCTGCGATGGACAGAGCGCAGATAGCTTTGGGCTAAAAACCAACAATAACAACATCAAGAATATTATTTATATGTTAATCTTTGCATCAACCTCCCCCAATGTCTCGAGGGCTTTATAACGCTGAAATTCAAGTTTCGATTCCTGCGATTAGTACAGCACAATATCTCATTGTGCATCTTTGTGCTTAAGCGACAAAATATTATACATCAGTACAGTGTTGTTAGAAAAAAACAAAGAGTACGTTAAGATAAGACCAACAAACTATTTTATGGTTAAGTACCAAACTACCAGAAAATTAAACCAAAGGGTAATTGGGGTGCTCGACTCGCAACCTGTGAGTCACGGGTTCGAATCGCCGAATACAAACTCACCCTATCAACCGTGGGAGCGTTATAAACTCACAGTCAATCTCACTACTCGTTGGTGAAACAATAGTGCAAGAGTTGACGGTGGGTGGTGTTGACCAGCTGCCTTCCCTATAGTCTATCATTGCAAAATTAGGGACGGCTACCTGGAAAGGTGATGGTAAATATGCATCGGCATCTAAGGTGCCCCAACGGACGTAAGCGGTTTCGGACCTAAAAAGAGAAAGTACCAAAGTACTTTAGTTGTGCTCAGGAGCCACGCTAAGAAAAGGTAAAACCAACAGATGACTTTACGAGACCAAATGGGAAAAACTTTAAAAATATATCCACCAGGTGGTGTTACTCATCTAATGGCGGATGACGGGATTTAGAAAAGCACCCTCCTACCCACCCCAAGGTGGCTCATTGGTAAGTCTGAGGTCTTATAACTTTAAAGATCGGGTTTCGATTCCCGCGATGGGCACAGCACATAAAACCCATCCTGAAGCTTTGCGCTTACCAACAAACAAACAAAAATCAGTATTGCTACGAAAATAGTAAAAAATGGTTAACAGCTAAATGCTCTCAAAATAAAAAATAAAATTTTACTGTTCAGTTTGTTTATCTTCAGCGTTCATGACTGTATGAATAACAACGCTAGAAACCGGGTTTCGATACCGTGGCGGGCAGAGCACAGATCGTTTTTCTCTTCTTAAATACATAACTCTTTAATAATTCAATTCGCCAACCAAATTCTGATGTGTAAGAAATCAGACAAATTACAGCATAACAGGCGTTGTTCAAGCAACTGGTGAGACATACGGCGTCGTATACCAGCCTAACTAATGAGCGCTGGCTTTGGGCGAAAGGCCTCGTCGGCTGTGGATATACACTCAAGTTTTTGGGATGAAATTGAAAGAACGTGAAACTAGTTGAAACTACTTGAAATTACATGAAAGTAAAAAAAAATAAAAAAATCCACATTACGAATTGGTTTATATTCTCGTAACAAACAGTTTATATGGTGCAACATTTTATTGTTATTATTGGTTTTTTCTCTAATTCGGGACAGGGAATCGATATATTGGGGTTGAAGTGGCATGAGTCGTTTTAAGTATTCTGATAGAGGGCTCTGTCGTTTTAACTAATCTATTAGAGGGCTCTGTCGTTTTAACTAATCTGATAGAGGGCTTTGTCGTTTTAAGTAATCTAATAGAGGACTCTGTCGTTTTAAGTAATCGGATAGAGGGCTCTGTCTCCCTTGGTCTTTTCTTTTTACCGTCTTACAGTGTATAAAATAATTATCATGCTAACCAAAATAGAATTTTGGGATACTGAAATTAGTCAAATCCTAGAACTGTAGGGAAACAGCATTTCATGTTTCAACTACATGGTAAAGATTCTGGGGTTCTCCGGGAGATGTCGCCACTATTAGTTCTCGGAATTTGAAACCACCTGAACTGAAAGGCTGGCCAGTAATTACTGCTAATAAGACAAGTTTTAACGAGGTGGGTTATTCGACTTTACACTGCACTATTCACAGAAGTAATGCTCTTTCTGAAACCCACTTTGTTATTTCTTATTTGAAGAAAGTTGGCAATATTTCAAGATAAATCATTAAAAGCACCTACTGGAATTCAAATCACCTACGAATTCGACGAAGAAATAAAAGCGTTCTTATCAGTTTGGCTTCTGTTTCTCAGACATCGTACCAAATCCTGATTTTAAATCTTGTATATCAAACAACCTGAACGTTGAAAGAGAAATATCATCGAATTTTTGGCAAAGATATGAGATCTTAACATCAGTTAACCAAAAATTTGTCCCACCTCCAGTTCTGAAAACCTAAATGAACCACCAGGCTAACAGTCACAGCCTGGAACACATGTTGGACACGAAACATACTTTGAAAATTCTTTGTTTAAAGTCAGGAAGAAAGACAATACGTATAATTAAATTCGTGTTTATTACTTCTGAAATTTTCACGCACACCTACTCAAGGGTATAGCTGTCCCTAATTTTGAACTGTTGACTAGTCAACAAAATTTATAGTTTAACTCTTGGGCTACTATTGCTTAATCGAAAGTATAATTTGATAATTTTATGAAAACAAAATCCATTAGAATTTTACAATAACGAATACATATTTAATCGTATTTGCTTTCAACTATTTAGAAATCTAGTCTTATTCAATGGTGGAAGTTTAATTTTTTTTTTCAAACAAACATATATAACAATTTTAGAGAAAAATATTCAAAATTTTATGTTCAAAATAAAGTAAAGATTTATTACTCTCTTATTAAACTTCTGCTTATTTTTCAAGGACAAAGTAAGGTCTACGTTACAGTTTTGTTTGTTTTAGTCGCATTTATAATTCATTAAAAATAGGCTTAGCTAAAACCATAATTTCCATTTCTTCGAATTAAGCTCACACAAGCTTAATTATGGAAGTTATAGCTTTTACAGTAAGGATTAATATTTGTTTAGAACAGCTAAGACATTTCGATCACTGGTACAATCATTCTCAAGTACACAAGTTTGAACTTTAAGGTTTGTTTGTTTGTAATAAAGTACAAAGCTATCTATACTGTATACGAGTATCAAAGCCACTGGGGGTGAGGGCTTAACAGTAAAGAAGGTTTTAGTATTTAAATCAACATTCAACAATCTAACAGTATAAAAGTTTGGAGACTGCTTGAATGGGTAATGGTGAAATTATAAATGCACAACGTTTCGGCAAGATTAAGTCATCATCAGGTACAAAATATAAACCGTCGTGACATAATCTTGTCGAAACGTTGTACACTTATGTTTTCATCATTACCCAAACTTTTACTTTCTACAAAACTGGGTTCCTTGTTACCGAATCTAACGATGTATTTAAATTGTATAACTGATAGTGGTTACTTATACACGTGCATATCAATCCACGTGAATTAATAGATTATATATTTATGGCTGAACAGAAAAAAAAAAGTGAATAAACATGAAAATGTGGAAATATTGAGCGAAATTATTTCCATCAAATTAGGAATATCTGGAGAAATAACGATCAAAGCCGTATATATAAACGAACCTGTGTATTTGTTAAATTTGGGATTGTTTGATTTTGTTACTAAAGCTTCTCTGATTTCTCTTCTGTTAATGTCACGTTCATGTTTTAATACTGTGACATTCTGTTCAGGATAACTGTGGTTATTTTGGTTCATATGTTCCTGGACTTGGGAAGGGGAACTGATGTTTAAGTTACGTCCTGTTTCACATATGTTCATGGACTTGAGAAAGGGAACTAATGTTCAAGTTACGTCCTGTTTCACATATGTTCATGGACTTGTGAAGGGGAACTGATGTTCAAGTTACGTCCTGTTTCACATATGTTCATGGACTTGTGAAGGGGAACTGATGTTCAAGTTACGTCCTGTTTCACATATGTTCATGGACTTGTGAAGGGGAAGTGATGTTCTAGTTACGTCCTGTTTCACATATATTCATGGACTTGTGAAGGGGAACTGATGTTCAAGTTACGTCCTGTTTCACATATGTTCATGGACTTGTGAAGGGGAACTGATGTTCTAGTTACATCCTGTTTCACATATGTTCATGGACTTGTGAAGGGGAATTGATGTTCAAGTTACGTCCTGTTTCACATACGTTCATGGACTTGTGAAGGGGAACTGATATTCAAGTTACGTCCTGTTTCACATATGTTCATGGACTTGAGAAAGGGAACTGATGTTCAAGTTACGTCCTGTTTCACATATGTTCATGGACTTGTGAAGGAGAATTGATGTTCAAGTTATATCCTGTTTCACATATATTCATGGACTTGTGAAGGGGAACTGATGTTCAAGTTACGTCCTGTTTCACATATATTCATGGACTTGTGAAGGGGAATTGATGTTCAAGTTATATCGTGTTTCACATATGTTCATGGACTTGTGAAGGGGAACTGATACTCAAGTTACGTCCTGTTTCACATATGAAATGAGAAACAAAACCTGGAGACGAGTAAACCAGTTTAGAAATCTGTCCGGAAATGAGACAGGCCCAACAACATCCCGAAGACATACAAACGATACATACGACCAGCGATAGAATAAGTCTGTTCGGTAGGATCAACATATCGACAAATAAAATACAAACAAAAGTCACAAGTGCATACAAAGTCCCACGTTCAACAAGTACCCGTTTCTCCCACAATGTACACCCACTTTATGACAGACTTCTAAACACATCGTTCACTTGTTGAATTATCACGTACATTAATAGTTTAATAATCAGACACCTACTGCTAGACTTACCTAATGTATGATTTATGTAGCGTATATATCATGTACTAAAAAGGGTATATATATATGTAAATACATATAGGATATGGTACACAATTAACGAGCACTAGAGTATATGGGACTAATACAGCAAAGTGTAAACCAGTGCAAATGATGGACATGTCCCTGATAGGGGTATTGAAAATACGCAGTGACTTTAAAGTGACATCAGCACCCTCATTTATGTAATGTTCATCATTTAACCAGTACAATAAAACATCCGTGCAGGGGGGAGGAAGAGGTGGAATTTTTCATACTTCACCCGACCACGTCCCGATGAAGTCGTCGTCATGTTCGCTTGTTTCACAATTTTAGAGAAAAGTACAGCGCCTCTAGCTTTGAAATAATCAACTACAAGGTTTGTTTAGTGTTAAGCACAAAGCTACACAACAGGACTATCTGTGGTTTGCCTATGACGGGTATCGAATCCCGATTTTTAGCGTTGTGAGCCCTCAGACTTACCGCTGATATACTGGGTGGGAAGGCAGCTTGTCAACAGTATATACAGCTAACTCTTGGACAATTCATTGTCTAATTGACAAGTATTATATGACTGTCACTCTTACAGAGCACTCACGGCTTTGACGTAAGTAGCGTTTTTTTTTTTTTAGTTGTTTTTTTTTGCTGCAACGGGTCGCAAACCACGGTTTCTTGGATTCACGGTCTGAGTACACTAACCACTGCGCCACGCCCCTTAGCTCTTACTTAATGGGATTTATGACGTGGTAAGAATAACAAAGGTCCTCACTCATTAATGGAGATTATGACATGTTAAGGATATGACATATAAGCCCTCACTCATTAGTGGGAACTATGACATAGTAAGGATAACATAGGTCTTCTCTCATTAAAAACGACAGAGACAGAGCCCTCTGTCAGATTACTTAAAACGATAGAGACATAGCCCTCTGTTAGATTCGTTAAAACGACAGAGATAGAGCCCTCTGTCTGATTACTTAAAAACGACAGAGTCAGAGCCCTCTATCAGATTAGTTAAAACAACAGAGACAGAGCCCTCTATCAGATTATTTAAAACGACAGAGCCCTCTATTAGATTACTTAAAACGATGGAGCCCTCTATTAGATTACTTAAAACGACAAAGCCCTCTATCAGATTAGTTAAAACGACAGAGACAGAGCCCTCTATTAGATTAGTTAAAACGACAGAGCCCTCTGTCAGATTACTTAAAACGACAGAAACAGAGCCCTCCATCAATAATTTAAAACGTCAGAGAGACAGAGCCCTCTATCAGAATACTTAAAACGACAATAGTCTGTAAACAATACAGTCGTGAAACAATTGTCGTATCTATAC